CTTGAAATGAATATCGGTTTCTAGGTGGTTGCCCGATATGGAGACAGAGAGGTCCAGGAAGAGAGAGGTGTTAGAGATGGTCCAGGTAAACTTAAGGTTGGGGTGGAAGGTGTTAGTGAAGTGTATGAACTGTTCGAGCTCCTCGTGGGAGCACGAGGCGGCGCCGATACAGTCATCAATGTAACGGAGGAAGAGGTGGGGTTTAGGGCCGGTGTAGGTACGGAAGAGGGATTGTTCCACGTAACCTACAAAGAGGCAGGCGTAGCTTGGGCCCATGCGGGTACCCATGGCTACCCCCTTTGTCTGTAGGAAGTGGGAGGAATTGAAAGAGAAGTTGTTGAGTGTGAGGACGAGTTCGGCTAAGCGGATGAGGGTATCAGTGGAGGGGGACTGGTCGGGCCTGCGGGACAGGAAGAAGCGGAGGGCCTTAAGGCCATCTGCATGAGGAATGCAGGTGTAGAGGGACTGGACGTCCATGGTAAAGATGAGGTGTTGGGGTCCGGGGAATTGGAAAGGGAACCCTGCAGCCCAATGGTATCAATGTGGATTTCACAAGTTTCAAAATCTCCCCTCCCCCTACCGCATCCCAAAACCAGTCCAGCTCGTCCCTGCCTCCCTAACCTGTTCTTCCTCCCACCTATCCCCTCCTCCCACCTCAAGCCGCACCTCCATCTCCTACCGACCAACCTCATCCCGCCCCCTTAACCTGTCCGTCCTCCCTGGACTGACCTATCCCCTTCCTAACTCCCTACCTACACTCACCTTTACTGGCTCCATCCCCGCCTCTTCGACCTGTTTGTTTCCTCTCCACCTATCCTCTCCTCTATCCCTCTTCTATCCGCCTCCCACTCTCTCCCTATTTATTTCAAAACCCCCTTCCCCTCCCCCTTTTCTGATGAAGGGTCTCGGCCCGAAACGTCAGCCTCTCTGCTCCTATGATGCTGCTTGGCCTGCTGTGTTCATCCAGCCCTGCACCTTGTTGTCTCAGATTCTCCAGCATCTGCAGTTCCTACTATCCTGGTTCTCTAAGATGTCAGGCATTTGTGGGAGCATGCTTTTCCCTGTTAATTTACTAAGTTTATAACTCGCTAGTAATATAGCGGGCAGTGTCTTTTGTATGACTGCTCGACAATATCTCCTTACGTCACCTCCTGATGATTAAATGTCAAATTGATATAATCAAAGTGTTCTGGAGAGTTAGAGTCTAGCAGTATATTACTGTTAGTACCTTGAATATAAAAAAAACTTTAAAAATAACAACTGAGTACAAGTTGTTTCAACAAAACCTATGCAGATTATTTATAGACTTCACGGAGATAACCAGTGTCTTTAAACTGAGGTAATATACACATAAGATTCAGCATAGTAGATTTGATCAATATATATAAAAGGTCAAAATAATGACATAACTACAAAACTATTTACAGATCCTACTTTCAAACAACTTTTTGTTACATACTTTCTTTTAAAGAATCTGATATTACTTAAGGCAGCCCAGGGTGAAAGATCAGTCAGTTTGAAACATGTCTGTTTCAAGCTAAAGTTGTTTCACCAAGTGCCCTCACATTTGACCTGTAAGATCCCTTTCCTAACGAACATTTGTGAACCAGATGGGTTTTCCCCAACAATCTACAGTGGTTTCATGGTCATCATTAGACTCCTGATTTCAGATATTTAATAAATTCAAATTCCACCATCTGCTATGGCAGGATTCAAATCCAGGTCACTAGAACATTAGCCGGGTCGTTGCATTAATCGTCTACCCATATGTTGAAGGTAGGATGGAGACAGGGCAACAACTTTCACGTTCAATTCTCCAGCTGTTACTCCTTGCAAGTGTGGATGCAATTCCCTGTAAACTGCATGTTTCAAAATCATTAAATAAGTCTTAGGAGGCATTGCAATACGTTTGTTATATGGCTTCCAGTGTAATAGAATTTCTACTAGATGCAGTTCTGAGCTGGGTTCAGCGGTAAGTCAGCTGCAACATTGTAATAGCACCTTATGATTGCCAAACCTGTCCTTCTGTTGCAGTACTTTAAATACTGCTGTTGGCTTTCACATGAACTGGCAAAAGAGCTGAGGAATTTATGGAATCTGATAGATGATATACAGCAGAATAAATCCTGATACTTGACCAGTTTTATTTGCATGTGCGACTAACTTTAAATAATGTTGCATTTTTAAAGAAATTTGCTCATTCCTTGGGAGGGAAATGTCATGATTCTTTTAATCTGAGGCTCCATAAAATTTCATAGAAATGATTGGACTGTTACAGACCACATTTTGTACCACAGTAATGATTTACATTTTGTACTGAGAAATACAACACTGATGTAAGATATTCTGGGTCATGTGCCTTCATCCGTTTGAGCGGTCTCTGATACTAATTTATTAGTTTAGTCGATCAGATAGCAGATAAAGGCAGGAATGAGTTCCGATGCTGGAAAACGTTCAGTTTATCTCACCGTTTCATCAATTTAGCAGTTCAAGAAAAGGAATGCTTCAGCACATTCTTCAGATGCTCTCCGAACTTAGTCTAGGTCCTGACATTAATACAAGTGCCCATGCAGCATTTCAGGACTTGGGAATCATTTCACGGATTCCTGATTTGTTCCAGTTCTTTCCACAATTTTTTTTCCCACGTGTAAGTAAATGAGAAATATGAAAATCTGGGGACTTTTTGGGTCCCCAGGGGCTTGCCTGCCTTGCTCACAGGCCCTTCTTTGCACTGTGGTGCCTACAATAGTGCCCATTCTAGCCGCCACAGGGAGGCTGCTTCCACAAGCAGGTACCAGCTTCAATGTGGCGGAGTTACCACCCTGCCATCAGTGAAATGCCAGTAGCAGCCATGTAAAATGGACCAAACTCCTTCCTGGAGTGGGCAGCCAGTAGGAGTGATGGCATCAGGGAGCCCTCCTGAGCTGCTTAGATTGATGGAAAAATTGTCAAGTACTGCGCAGAAACATTTTGAAATTTTGCAACTAAAAATGGATTATCTTACATGTGGTTAAGACTCTCCCGGACTTTTCAATATTGTTCATTATAAGTTATATACACTTTCCTGAGGGTAGAAAATCTCATTTTCTCCTTTCCCAGGAGCTCAGTCTTTTCTTCCATGGCCAATATGTTGTATTGGCTTCTCTCGTCCTCTCGTGGAGGTGAGACCACAAACAGGTCAACCCATGTTCTTGTCGAATGGTGCTCACTTCAACTCTCCTGCTGCTGCACTAGAAAGAATGGCTGAAAAGAAACACACCAGACAACAGGCCAAGCAGCATCATAGGAGCAGAAAGCCTTTCTGCTCCTATGATGCTGCTTGGCCTGCTGTGTTCATCCAGCTCTGCACCTTGTTGTCTCGGATTTTCCAGCATCTGCAGTTCCTACTATCTCACACCAGACAACCAGCCTGCTTCATTTTCTTTTAATGATGTTGCCAGCAACGTCACTCCATGGCCCCACTTCCAAACAGAATTCCAAGGGACTGGCAAAATTTCCTCCGGAATGTCAGCAAATTGGGCCTATGCTTTCCCTCTCCCTTCACCCTCACCAGCTTGCCATAATCCCACCCACTGTTTGATTTTGGAGATTTCTCCTCCGTTATCAGACACATGGTAGGCAGTAAAACACTTCAGACAGCAACAGTATAACACCTCAATCTCCCGCAAGGAAAGGACTTATTTTATTAACCTCTGTCTCTCTTTGACTAGCCAAAAGAAACACAGTGGAGTTCCCCTGCTCTGTTGGTGGCCTTCAGAAGGAGTGTACCTTTTGAGTTTTGGGCTTTCTATTCTGCTTTAAGGTTTCACACCACCTATTCTGATGAAAGCCGGTGAATTTCCTCATTAGCAGTGGTTTGCTCCCTCTTTTGAGTGTGGGAACCACAATAGGCCACTTTTATGCTTTTCAGCTTTTCCCACCAATTAGATGGATCCCCTGAATCCCCAGCTCTGTTTATCTGTCTTGGTTCAGCATCTCTTGTTTGCAAGGATCTGGTTGAGATCATTGAATAAGCAGGATCACCACCATTTGTGGAGCTTTATTTTACAAAATGGTTCTTGCGTGATTGTTCAAAAGGCGGGGGTAGGTCAGTATAAGCCGGCAGAGTGTTAATATTAACCTGCACAGACAGCTGCTCGTTCACTACCCAAAAAAAAACAGTGGCTCATGCCACACGTTTTTTTTTTAACATGTATGCTATGTCTCCCAAGATTGGGAGTGCAACTTTTACGAGAGTGGGATTTTGAGTTTTATTGAAGGAGGAAAGACTGGAAGACCTAGGCACCAATTAGACTGCATTGATAGAATATATCATTTTACAATTTCAAAAAATATACGTACTGCCAGGAACGTGAGGAAATTAAAGATTGTGAGAACTTAACAAGGAGAAAAGCAACTGAGAAAGCTGATAAAACAATGAGAGATAAAGGAAAAAAAATACTCATACTGTCAGTTGATTGGCACAGAGACAAGTAAGGCTTAAAGGACAAGGAAAGGGCATTTCTATCCTAACAGCTTTGGACAGGTGTTAAGATCCCCTTGCCTAGGTTAAGAAACTTTGCTATCTGCCTTGGGCCGTTCATCTCCTACACAACTCCCTTACCCTGTTAAAATCAGAGCTTGATTCTGTTCTCTGATACAAAACACCGAAACATAGTTTGTAGGTTAAATTAAACATACAATCAAAATTTGGGCATGTTTAATGTGGGGGCAGAAAAAAAGGAGTTTCTCAATTGATACGGTAGGGATTAACGAAAGCACTATGGGATTGTTCCTGGGAGCTGTGAGGTTATGATGAGCATTTCCATCAAGTCTGTTTGATATTGAAAATGGTGCATTGCTGATTCATTTATCGAGCACTGAGGGTAGAGTAGGTGTTCACGGCAGTTTGTAGAAGATTACCTTAATCACAATTGATCTTGAAATTATTTTACTGTTAATTTCTGATCTTAAACATGTCAAGATTAATTGTTTTGCTATCTCTATCTTTATCTCAACAGGTTTGCAATCTTCAGATCTTCCAAATCTCTGTATGGACCCTGCAGACAAGGGTAATTGTAACAAATCCATAACCAAATACTTCTACAATAATTCCACTGGCAACTGTGAGACCTTTATTTACAGTGGATGTGGAGGAAATCTGAACAATTTTAAAACCAAGCAGCTGTGTCACAGGACCTGCAGAAAAGGTATACTCATAAGAGGCTCTTGTTTCAATCATTGTGTGAAAGCAAAATACCACAAGTGCTGGGAACCTAAAATAAAAACAAAAAATGTTGGGAGTATCGGAGTTGTGATGAAAGATCACAGATCTGAAATATTAATTTTACTCTTCACTCCTCAGATGCTGCCTGATCTACTGAGCATTGTATTTTTTGCATTTTCTGTTCTTGCCTCTGCTGTTGTGCTGCTTAATCCTGTAAAATTAGGAGATAAAGTTAACTATTGCAGAATGGTCTGAGTTATAATTATCATAGTGCCACAAATTGTGGAAGTAATGTTAATAATGCTGTATAAATGTATTTTAATTATTGACCAAATAAATGAAGATTGGGGATGCAATTAAAAATCTTTTAGGATATACTCAGCAGTTCTGGATTCATTCTCAGAATGTGGGTATCTCTGTTAAGGCCAGAATTTACTGATCAACCCTAATTACTATTGGGAAGATAGCAGTGAATTCTTCACATATTAAAAATAATTTAGCCTGGAAATTTGCAGGCAAAATACCTAACTTTCATTTTGAGATGAATGTTGAACTAATTTCACGGTGATGCATGTTTTATATTGAAGAAACCCCAAACTATTTTTATATAAATTTTGTTCAGCTGAAGCTTAAACATGGACAGGTTAAACTAATAAACACAGTGATAAACCCAAAAACAGCTTTTTGAACAGCATTGGACTGCACTTTCTTAACTACATGTTGTGCATTTTTTTTTTGAAATTGTAACTCCACTGCAAGCTAACTATAAAGTCAACTCAATGTTATTGGGTATTTCCCCTCCTCCTTGATTTGAGGTTCATCATTGAACCAAAGAGCAACAACACCCTCTACTGTTCAGAAAGACATTACAGGAACTTCTTATTTGAGTGGAAATCACTCTTTGGGAATAGCTAATTTTAAATGATCAGATGTAGGTCCCACAATACAAGTGGCATTCTGGCTTTTGGAAGCTTTAGGCTACCAGTAACTTAATTCCTTGAACAGGTGAAAATTTTTGTAGGTACATTTTACAGTGAAAGGCAGAAATGACAAATGTGAACGTTCAACAGCATAAATTATTTATTATTGAACAATTCTTTGCAATCTGTCTATTTACCATCCAACCTAACTCAACCAGTTCCTCATTTTGCAATGGACGACAAATTTGATCACTTCCAATCAGTTTATTGTATATGACATAGAAAATTCATGAAATACTTTGAGCTAGATAGTACAGTGCCACATATGCATACAGAGTAAAAATAAACATTCTATTCCAATAGAATAACAAATACCTGGTTTTCAAGCAACACACACTTCATCTCATGAGGGAAGATTTAAAATCATAGGGAGCACATTTTAAAAAATTTTTCCTGTTCTCAAGCTTTTCCAACATTTCCTTGCTCTTTGAAATGTTTTATTTTGCTGTCTTGCAGTTAACAATTCCTTTTGGTTATTTATACAGCAATTGTGAAAGTGCTGTGATCAAAAGAAGACTTCCTGGTGGATTTCTAATGTAATTACCGTATTAAAGTCAGGAAATATTTTATTGCAAGTGATCTACACCACTCCACCCCCAGACTATTCTGATAAATGCAGTGGAGTGAATTTATTACAAACAGTGAAGAACATTCATCTTAGAAAAAGAACCTTTCTCTTTCTAATGTGTCGGGTGGCTTTCTTAGTTTAGTTGGTTGGGATATCGTCCTCAGACCAGCTTATAGCCTGTGAGATCTTTACATTATGGAAACAGCATAATAAGAGGAAATTCTTCTTGACCGGCTTCAGTTGAGCAATAAAACTTCTATCAAACTATTAAAGAACAAACTAATTTAGTCAGTCTATATTTTTCTTCACAAAAAGGATATTGAATGAAAAATAATCCTTAAACACTCCCCTTTAACCCCATTCTAAACTGAAGGACTATTTTGGAATATGTCACACCAATCTATTTTAAGTGTGGAACTTTGGCTTCATTCATAAATGCATGTTTAATCCAGGGGAGTGATATGCCTGTCTTGCTTGTTAGTGCAATTTGTCAAACTAGCAACTATCTTCTAATTGGAATTTCTGAATGTCTTCAAAATGACTCTGCATGAGGCCTATGAAGGCTCCATGTTACACCTCTCCCAGTTTTACTGAACATCTCCTTGATTATGTCTTTATGCGTTCCTCAGTCTGTTGGTAGTTTTGGTAATTGAAGAAAACACATCAATCAATTGTACAAGCAAATTTAAATACATTTCAAAACAATCAAACTTCTTTATTTTATCTTTCAGGAACCAGAAGGCAATAGCCCTGAATTGCCAGAAAATACATGAAACATTCAAACTCTAAAAGGAATCTGATTGTCACAGGATGCCTTGCAATCTCTTGGAATTTAATTTACTCTTAACCCGTAACTGTCACACTCTGCACTTTTTAACCTCCTTTTGTTAGATTTGTTTCTTGTTTGCAAAAGTAGTGCTAATCAGCGCAGTAACATGTTATCATATCACCAGCTAACATCTGCAAATTTGTATCCACCGTAACAGGGCCAGCCCTGTGGGCAACGTCAGAAAGATGCAGTTATTGTTGAACCTGAGAAAGTCTTGCTAACAGGTGTCATTGGTTATGGCAAATTGTTAGGATGCTTGCAATGGCAACTTTGTAATGCTAAATTGACACACCTAGATGGAAACTGAAAATATTCAACAAACTTCATGTTCACTTCAGATGGAACTTTCTTCTTTCTTTAAACATAAGTCAGAGTGAGCTTAGACATTTCATTACAAATTCCATTACCATATTGATTGTCCAGCAAAAATGTTCTTATTGAATGCAGTAGTATACAGGTAGCTGGTTAATTCAGTTGGCTGGTTTGTAATACAGTGATGCCAATAGCATGGGTCCAGTATGTTAGCTCAAGTCACCATGGAGGTCCGCCTTCTCAAACTTGACCCTTTTCCGAGGTGTGATGACCCTCCAGTTAAACTCACCATTTGCCTCTCTAATGAGAGGGCAGCTCTGTGGTCCTCTGGAACTATGGCAACTCTACCAAATCTTACATACCGCTCTGATGTTTGGGATTTAATCATTTGTTTGTGTATTAATACAGCCAGTTTAAAGTACATGAGCATGAATACATATTGTTCGTAACCTTATGTTTTTATGCTCTTTGTAAAAACTGACTGCTTATTTTATTCTTACTTCTTAGCTTAGCAGATGACTTTTAGTACGATACAAAATACTGAAGACCCAATTCTTGCTGCTACTGTACACTGGAAATCTTTACATTTAACATTCAAGATACCTCTGATTACCTGCAAAGGCAAGGTAATCAGAGGTATAACAGGCACTTTTCAGGACCAAAAAATGACAGAAGTAAACAATGTTTGGCTCTTACTGTCATTAACTGCTGCATTATCCACGGCAATGCCTCTACCAATCAGAGTTCACTTGCCAACCAACCCGCACACTCCTCTCATACAGTATAATTGTCAATTTTCCCTTTGAACTGGTATTCTTGTGAATTGCCCTGATGACAACAAAATGTGTCTTTACTTCAGCAATAGCAAGAATTCTTTGGTAATATGAATTTTATAAGTGAAAATGGGTTAGGGTACCGGTCTATCAAAATAGGCTGCTATTAGAACAAGAGTTTCAGATAATTAGCTTGTGTGTGTCACAACACTGTGCAGTTATACTATTACCATCTTTTAAATAAAATCAAAATTGCAATGTCATTAATGGTAGTGGTTCACAGGGCATTTTTTTTTAATTAGATTAAGCATGTTTGATATAATTTAATGCAATATAGGATTCCATGGCATTACAACATGAGTTCTGAAAGAAAATGCACAGCTTTGTATTTCAATCTGAAGGGTAATTATTCTTTTTATGGCCATTGTACAAGTAATTATTTTGTCACTGTGGCAAAAATGCTATTGTACATCTGCCTCAATTACAGTATTGATATAGCAAATCAGAAAAAGAAATGCTCTGCTATTGTGATTATAAAGTTTTTCAATAATCTGTGAATGTGTTTTAGCTTTATTTAATATTTCAGAGATTTTATCAAATATTAGTGTAAAAATAAAAGTGATAAGGTAACAAAAATTCCCCTCCACCTTTCCCTGAAGCCATTAAAACGTGTTGCCCCTTGCTTCTATAGGCATGATCATTCCTCAGTGCCTTGGAAGATTGGCCACTCCCTGTGAGTCTGGATTCTGTGAAGAATCTAAGGAAGATTAGGATCAGGGTTTTGAAATTGGTCTGTGGTCTCAGACAGAGCAGGCAGCCATGCAATTTTGCATGGCCTAGTTCACAACCACAATCCTGATACCAAGTCGTTTTCAATATGCGAGCCCTCAAGATAGCCATATGAGTCTAATTCTTCATTCTACACTCCATAGCCTGCTCCTGTGCTGATGGCAATTTTTAATGGAAGCAGGCAATATCAGTCCACACCACATTCAAGCAATCTGGATGGATTCAAGGAGCAAATGGTAGGGAGCAAATGTGGAGAGAATGGAGATATGGGAAATCACGTGAGGGATACCCTGCTCTTCCTGATCCAGATCTGCCGTTGGACCACTGCTGCAGCTGCTGGCCATCCCCTGGAGACAGTGCTTCTCCAGAATCATCACCAAGTCAAAGCACCATTTTAAAATGAAGAAAACAAAGCTTTACCTGGCCTTTTCCGCCTGTTTCTATCTTCACCATTAGGCAGTGGCCCCTGCCGATACCCGAGTATTAAAAAGCCGCCCATTGATTCCCCCAGCACCAGTGGCCTGCCCACTATCCCTGATTGGACAATGGTCACATCTCCATTCCTGGTGCCAAGACTATTCAGTCTGAGCTCTGACCATTTAGCTGACATTTGTAATTCGGTAGAGACAAGATTGAACTGGAAACCTTCTAGTCTGTCTGTCTTGGGTATATACTGCTTTTATCAATTGGGTTATCAGGGAAATGTTCTCCTTTGGCCCCTGCACATTAAAGCCAGTCCCTCTTCCCCCAACTACATACAGCTATCAGCACCTTGTCTCCATCCAACACTCACACGAGTCAGCCACTCCCTCAACACACAGGGTGAAATCTTGTGGCATATCCAGATAAATGCCTCTTTCACGGTCGTACTCCAACCTCCCCAGACAGCCAACAACTGAGCTCAATGCAACAACTCAGTTGCTCTTCTGTCGCAACATAATTCCCAACACAAGGAAAGCAGCTCCCATTTATTCTAAATCCACCAGGAAGACTACCTCATCCACTGCACATCACCTTTGACCGCTCATGAATTTGAAGATGCATATTTCTTGTTTGAGTTAAGTTTGTAATTTTGCTAAAATCAGGAATTATTCACAAGGGAAGCACAGGTAAAATTCTGAACAGGAAAACTTCATTTTAGATGCTTACAACTCCACAGTCGGGTCTAGACTGAGCCCCAGATTCTGTGCCTCGCAAATCACCTGATCAGCTCTCTTAAAAGGGCAGCACCCCAACTACATATATAACACCTTCCCCCTTTATTTTAAACAAATTCCGTTAACCAACATATAGACATGATTATACAGGCATTGTAGCCAACATATGTACATGGTCAGGAATATGTGCACAAAATCATGGAAAGGGACCACTCCCCATGGACAAGACATTCTGGCCCTAGACCACATTGACATGATTAGTCTCTAAGGGGGATGCTGATTCCTAGATGACTGTCTCCTGCCCTCAGGAACCTTTTCTAGTGGAGTCTCACAGGTTTCCAGAGACTCCTGTTGATACTTCCCTCTCTGATTGGCTGTTGTCTCCTGCCGCAGTATGACCATCCCTGGTTCAGAGATACATAACTCGGTCGACACCCCTGATCTCACCTGGACTGGTTCAGTATCCTGAGGAACTTCCACCATTGGTGAGGTATAGCAACCAGTCGGTCCATGTGTCTCCTCCAGACCAGTTCATCCCAGTCTACACCGTATATGACTATGGTCCTGTTTGAGCCACCACCACAGCTAGGATCCATTTCTCCCCAAGTGTGTAATTCCGGGCCAACACATTCTCTACTCTTTGGAATACTCTTGACCTTGAGCTTCTTCCCTTTTGGCCATCTGTCCTTCTTGATTTCATGCTACCAGCTCTCTGGTTTCTTCTGACTGCAGTAAGTCAAACATGGTTCTCAGCTGGTGGTTGAACATAAGAGACACTGGCAAGCACCAGATCATTGCATGTGGTGTGTTCCTGGACATGCTGAGGAACTTGTTGTTCCACTAACTTAGCGACCCCTCCCTTTGTGAGGCCTTTAAAGCTTATTTCAAAGTTTGTACAAATCTCTCCACCTGGTCATTTGTCACAGGGGTGATATGGAGCCAATCTCACATGTCTGACTCCATGATTTTCCAGGTATTCCTCAAACTCTTGCACCGGAAACTGTGGAACATTATCACTCTTGACTTGTTTGCGGGTCCCAAACCTGGTAAATATTTCACCCAATCGGTCTTTGTTTCCGCCAATATCGACTTCATGAGTGCCACCTCACCACCACTCTGTCCCTCTACTGGTCCTGCAAAATCAGCATTTATCTGCTGCCATGGTGATTGAGGTCTTTCCCATGGGTGAAGGGGTAACAACAGCAGTGCCTTACTAATGCGCAGGATTCTCATGATCCCACTTTTTCCTCAATCTGGGTGTCCACATTCAGCCACCGAAAGTAACTACTGGCTCTGTCCTTCGTTCACACCAAGCCAGGTTCTCCTAGGTGCACTTGTTCCAGCACATTTCCTCTTACCAGGGGATGGATAACACCTCTTATTTCTCACATTAAACACCGGTGCGATACAGCCAACTCCCGCTTCCCAGACAGGTAGGGGAGTAATTCCATGACTTGTTCTCCCTCTCAGGACCAAGTCCACAACTCAGGTCAAAACCGGGTCATTCCAAGTACTGTTCCGCACCTAATTCACTGACACCAGCACCTTGCCATCCTGGGAAAAGTACATAATTTTCAGGTTCCAGTCGGGAACATCTGTATTTCCCATTAGTGGTAACCTTGGAAAAGCATCTGTAAATGCCATCCTTCTCTGCCTGTCAGTATCCGATCCGATCTGACTAGGCAGACAGAGTGTCTGCAGGCATGTTGCCGCCATTGATGGTATCCCTCTATACGAGCCAAAAATGATGGTTAGAGGTCTGTAGTTGGTCAGAAGCACAAAGTTCCTGTCATAAAAGAAACAGGTAAACTTTTGTTTTAATGCCAAACACAGGGATCAATCCTTCTCTTTTCATCTCAAGCATAACAGTCCTCTGTCTTTGTTAGTGACCTCACTGTAAACATGATGGGCCTTTTGTTTCCATTCCGTAAGATGTGCGACAGTACAGCACCAACCCCATATGGCAAAGTGTCACAGGCTAGCTGCAGTGGTAACTTTGGTTCAAAGCACGATAACACTTCCAAACTTTATAAGGCTTTTTTTTCACTCTCCAGTAAGCTAGCTCACATTCCTAGGTCCATTTCCATTGCTGCCTTTTCCCAGTAACCAATGCAGGGGCTTTAACACAGTTCCCAGATCCAACACGAACTTGCCATAATAATTGACAAGTCCCAGAGATGTGTGTGATCTAGGGCTTTATAGGATTTGACTGGATTCTGTTTGGTGTGTGCATCATACTGAAAAATAAAACCTGGCATTCTGCCATCTTCATAACGCAATTTTCTGCATTTAGCTGGAGTCCAGTTATTCTAGCTCTCTCCACGTAAACAATCTTCATGATCTTTATTATCTAATCTGGATATCATCAATTATGTTGACTGCTCCTTTAGATCGTCAGTGGACCATATCCTCGCTCATTTCAAGACTAAACGTAATTGCAGGAATTTGTTCCAGCCAAAAGGTGTGTTGAATATTGTCAACAGCAAAGATTCCTCATCAAGCTTGTGTTCCAGTCCTCAATTATAGCTTAATGCTCACTGAAAACCTTTATCCTGCCCTGCCCTGCTGCTTTGTACTCTACTGGGTGCTGCCAATCACATCTTCCATGTCTTGGAGCTCCCTTTCAAGCTTTCTGTTTAGTTCTATTGGTATTTCATATGGAGGAAAAAGCACAGGTTTCATTGCTGGGTTAATCGTGGTGTGATACTCAAAACATTTGAATGTACCAAGTTAGGCGTAGGCCATTTGATCCCTCAAGCCTGTTTTGCTATTTCTTAAGATCATGTTGATTTAATTACAACCTCAGCTCCACGTTCACCCTTACTCCAATTACTTTTCACCCCTTACCAAGAATCTATTGACCCCACCTCTGCACCATCTTTTGAGGAAAAGTTCCAAAGACTTATGACCTCCAAGAGAAAATACTTTGCCTTTTCTCTGCTTTTAATGACAATCCTTTATTTTTAAATTGTAACCCCGGGTTCTAGATTCTCCTACAAGAGTAAACATCTTTTCTAAATCCACCCTGTCAAATCCTTTCACAATCTTATATGATTTAGTCAAGTCTCCTCATTCTTCTTAACTGCAGCAAATATAAGCATAGCCTGACCAATCTTTGCTCATAAGACCACTGGCTCATTCTCAGCATTAGTTTAATAAACATGCAATAAATTGCTTCTAATGCATTTGTATTTTTCCCAAAAGAAGGAAAACAATACTGTACACAGTACACAAGGCAGTCTTGCCAATGCCTTGTATAATTAGAGTACAACCTCCCTTCTCTTGCATTCACAATAAACAGTAAAATTATATTAGCTTTCCTAATTGCTGTACCGCTATACTAACCTTTAGTGAATCATGAACTATGGAATCATGCACCTTGCACTGCGGAGCCTTGCAATCTCTCACTATTAAGATAATATGCTTCTTCTTTATTCCTCCATGCAAAATAGACAATTTAATATCTTACAACATTATATTCCATTTGCCAGAACTTTGTCCACTCAGTTAGCTTATCAATATCCCTTTGTATGTTCTTTTTACAACTTACTCATGTGAATACTTTTACGTCATCAGCAAATTTAGCAAGCACAGTTTCAAATCCCTCATTCA